TACCCCAAAACTGCAGAATATTATGCCCTGCAAAGGAAATAAAAAGTAACTAGAGATTCTGCTCTAGGTTTTGCCTCAAGGCAGCAAGACATACGTTCATGTCAAGACAAGTCATGAAATACAACTCAAAAATTAATGTTTTTTTGAAATCCTGTCCTTATTCAAATTTTAAGTGTCTTTTCCATGTTACAGAAAAAAGAGTTTGCAGTTAAGGAGGTACCAATCTCACATCATTCCTGTATTTTAAAAATATATTTTGTTGGGACAAACAATTGGCAACAGAATCAATTCAAAGCAATGTTAAAGGCTAGCATCGGCCTTCTAACTTATTTCTCTCTCAGACAGAACCTTGAGCTTACGCTGACAGAGCAAGTAGCAAACAGTTGGCATTTCCAGTGAAAACACGTTTCCCCTCCAGGTTGATTGTCAGGTTTCAGCCCCAGGAGCACGCCAGAGTCTCCAGCTGGCTCCAATGCAGTCCTGGGGCTGGGATCCCTAATCAGCCAATTGTCGGTTCCAGCCCCGTTCGGTTCACCAGGCATTTGGCATTCAACTTGCCAGGTCAGGAGAAGCCCAGAATCATGATTCTGGGTTCAACCTGCAGCAGCAAGTAGTAGTGGCACAACTGGAGTTTGATCCCCAATCCCAAAATTGTGCATCCTGCCAGGCATGTGTGGGAACAGATCCCATCACACCATTAAACAAATACATGCCAGGGGCCTTAATAAAATCAATCAGACTACTATTGAAGCAAGGCAGTCCTTAGAGTAAGGGGATCAGATTTCACCCTAAATTTGTGGCCTGAATTAACTATTTAAAAATAAGGTTAGATGATAAACCAAGGTTAAAGGCTGTTAAACGGTATCTATCTGTAAGTGCCCTCGCTCTCCTCCACCCTTCAGGAAAAAAGCATTGTATATATATTCCGAAAACACACATCATTCCAAAAGCAGCCTCTGATTGTAGGAGTCAGGCACATTTCAGACACAGAAATGCCAAGTACTAGTTTATAGCTGCTTGCAACTTTGGGCAGCAGGGGAGAGGGATATGGAAAGTAGGTTCCCACAGTTTAAGTTTCAATAGTCAAAATAAAAACAAACAAAAAACAACGACCTATATGTTCAAGAAACTCAGGCAATTAAAAAGGTACATACATTGGTAGATGTGGAGGAAGGATTCACAGAGCTTGCTAGTGAATATAGGTTCAGGAAGGTCTCGAAAATACTGCTTTACCATATCTGCCACATCGAATGCTGACTGGCCTTCGTAACATACATTGCTTGGGTCATTTTCATTCATCTCCCTTAAAGAAAGGATCCTAGATTTAACACCTGATTTCCTGAACAGACCAACCTATTTAACAAAGAAAGAAAGAAAGAAAGGACAGACAGATGTGAGAACTTAATGAATAATAATCAAGCCTTCTCCTTCCCTGTGGGTGTAAGTCAAAAGCCAATATATTTACCTCTAAATGTCCACCTCAATTTGTATACTGTCCCCTGCAAGCAGAGCTGCCTGGTCCCGCACCACTGGGGAGGTGGGAGACAGGCTCCAATGAAAGCAGGATTGGGCTCCTCACCACTTCTGTTTTTAGCAAACTCCTGTGGCTGGCAGGATGCCTGGAGCCGCCTGGAATTGACTGGCTTGCTCCATGGACAGCACCGGGTGTTGGACAGAGATGGGAGGAAGGGCTGGGGTGTTGGGCAGGGCTGGCCTTCCCCCCCCCTCCCCCCAACCCCTCCCAGGCACCCTGTGCTACCCATGGAGTGAGGCAGCCCCTTCTTAGGCAGTGCCAGACATCCTGCCAGCTGCAGGAGCCTGCTGAAGGCAGAAGCAGCAAGGGGCCTGATCCTGCTTTTGGTGGAGCCTGTCTGCCCCCAACCCTGCAGCTGGGGGGCAAGCTGCTGGGGAGCCAGATAACCCCTGAGCTGCAGGGGGGCCCGGTTCTTCCCTCTGTGGTGGCTGCCAGCTGGCCATGTGCTGCCTGAGCTACCAGGGGCCTGATCCAACTTCCCCAGAGCCTGCCAGCTCTCCCATGATCCTGCCCAGGCTTCCAGCTCCTTGCACATCATCCCCAGCACCTTCTTCCACCACCAGCACACCCAGTCACCCTACTGACGTCCCTCTGGTCAGGTGGGGTCAACTTATACATCAGATCTACAAAAATCCAACTTTTTTGTATGAAAATACGGGTTCGACCTATACAGTGTGTTGAATTATACACCGTGAAACATGTAAATTGATTATGCAGAGGATTAAGTACTGAACTGGCTATTTAGTAACTTATTTTTAGGGTCAGTCAGGAACTACATTTCCATCCAGCAAGCAATTCAGAAATCTAGATATTGTGGAAGACATTTAGTGCCACTTTTGTACAAAAATGTAATCAGAGTAATGTTAATACAGCTTAAAATTCATGCCCCCTGCCCCCACCCCCATGGCTGGATGGGGCCAGGCCACACTCCTTTCCCCCTGTGGGGGCAGGCTGCAGCTAGGTCATGCCTCCTTTCCCCGGTGAGGCCATGTCAAGCTCCCTTTCCCACACCTCTGCAGGCCAGGTTGAAGCTGGGCTATGCTCCTTTTCTCCCACAAGGCTGAGTCATGCCCACTTCCCCGCTCCCCCAACAGGGCTGAGTTGGGGCCAGGCCATGCCCAGGTTGGAGCTGGGTAACCCCCTGTTGTGATTGCCCCATGCTGGATCAGGACCACTAGCCAGATCTAGCCTGTGGATGGCCTTGGCACTGCCCATCTGGCCCACTGCCCTAAAAGGCTGAGCACCACTGGCATAGAGCATGCCCTTTATAATCACAGAATCATAGAAAATTAGGGTTGGAAGGGACCTTAGAAGATCATCCAGTCCAACCCACTGCTCAAAGCAGAACCATCCCCAACCATATCATCCCAGCCAAGAAATATAGAGCACCAATTCAGAAAGACATCAATCAGCTTATTAGTCAGTAACAGTGAATGGGGTACAGAAAAGGCTTTTAGTACCATAGCCTTAACAAGGGACAAAAAGAAAGATACAACCCAACTCTTAGAATCCCAGTCGAAATGAACATGTGGATGTTTCCAATATGTTGTGCTGCTTTCAGCCAGCAAAGTGACTGCAACATGTTAGATTTTGTATTTTACTATTAAAAATACTACCAAGGGAGGGCAGTTTCCTAAGTGAATGAACAACTGCAGGTATTATGAACAAAGGGCAGACAGGATTACATAGCAGCAAAAACAAGGCAGTCCTAAAATAGAATAATACTGGTATCCTGGTAGGACATCCATTCAGGCCTGTTCCCACTCAGTGTCAAGGGATATGGGAATAAAATAATATTCTTATTCTTTTGCCTTGTCAAAATAAAAATTGGTGGTTGGCTCTCTAGGGGCTCCTCATCCCTGAAATGTTGTATAGGGTCCCTCAAGTCCTGTTCAGGTTTGATTCATGTTTGTACCTGGTCAAGAAAGTGTCTTCTTAAGTACTCCATGGCCTGAAGTATGCCCCTAGGAAGTGGATGACTTGTTCTCTGAACATTTAGAAGTAACGGAACCCCAAATACATTTTTGTCCTTATAGTCAGGGGCTTTTATTTTTCTAATGAACTTTGGAACATTCCTGAAAAGAAACACAAGATACATTCAAACCATTAGGTGCCTTCTTTCTTTTCAGTGAAATACGGACCATTTCCCTTTCCCCTCAGCTTATCTCACATACACTTGAGAAAAAGTACACCCTCTCTCTTGCTTCCCAAAATACTGCTGTGCTATCAGGGCATCATATAGTGAAGAGAGCAACAGAACAGAGATACAGTAGCAGACTCATGTGTCTTAAGTCCCTTAAAGCACTAAGATACATATCCTAGAATGACATCAGCTTAGCATCCAACTTAAATTTTGTTCAGAGTATGTTTTTGCATGACATGCTACCACCTGTCTGTTAGGTCACTCTCAGTAGTTGGTGGCTTTTATCATCATTTTTAAGCTCCAGCCCAGATAGGAGGATGATGGGTTTGACCATCTCTCTCTGCCCTTGCTCATTCCCTCTGAACATATATATCTACACTGTTGAAGAACCATGCTAAGGAGAACTTTGGCTAAGCATGGCATCCTGAAATGGATGTGATGCAGAAGTCTTAATGAAGCTCTGAGCGTAATCTCTCCAACCCAGGCATACTCATTGGCAGGGTGCCCAGTGCTACAGTAAAGTCAGCTACATTATAGCTCTTTAAGGGGCTGTGCAGGTAGAAATTAATCCCTAGCACACTCGTTTGACAGTGCCCTTTGCCACAGCAGAGGTTCTGTAGTAAAATCCTACAGAGCAAGCAAATTTAGCGAGAAAGCTTAGACCAAAGCTTTGACCATTTAAAATGAACAACAAAGCTGACACCCAGAAGACAGAGTTAGGAACGTACAAACATAGGTTAAAACCTGACCTCACTGAAATCTAAAACAAAACTTCCATTAAGTCAGTGAGGACCAAACATCACCCTACATATGCATAGGCTGGATACTGTAGGAAGTCCACCTGCTTACACCAATCATCACTTTTCCCGAAGTGGCACATTTTAATATTTGTTAACTTACCAATTCCAGCCCTGTTTGCTGGATGGTGAATATTTATCCATTAAAGCAGTGAGTTTCAACAAAGCAAGTTTCTGAATTCGGTTTAAGTGGGCCGCTGACTGGTTATCAATTTGCACAGAAAGGCTTTCCAAGTTTCCACTCTCTTCTGTAGACCAGCGCTGTCTTGTGTGCCTAAGGAGTAAATATTGCTTGGATTAAAAATAAAGCTCTTATTGACATTATCAGCTTTTTGCCTAAAACAGCAGAACACCTATTAAAAACTCTTCTATTGACAATCAACTTAATAAACGTCTTGGTGTTTCCAAGCTGATTTATCTCATCTGAAAAGTGATGCAGCAATATAAAAGGCTTAAAAAAGAGATTTTTAAAAATCAGGATTTCTATCTAGGGCTTTAAGTGGCTTCTCAGCACCAGGAGACAGGAGCACTTAGATTTCAATGGTGCTTGGATCTGACTAATTTACAGGCTCACCCAACTTTAAATAGATTTACATTTCCCATAATTTCGGGGAAAAAATGGTGTTTTAAACTGAGAGGATGGCAGAAGGGAAGGCTTGGTTGGGGGTGGGGGCAAGGAGTTGCCAAGACAAATGAGGCTGACCTGCTAGAGTGGGATCCAGTCTCCGAGTCAGTTACATATGGGAGGTCACCGATGTTCCCGCAGTTTTGTTCTCCTTCAACTGTGGACAGATTTTCCACTTTCCCTTCTGAATGCTTTATTTCAAGGTGTATTTCTTTAGGGAAGGATGGGCAAGGAGATGTTGTATCATTAGCAAAGTCAGAGTCTCCATCATCTGAGAACTTTTCAGTCCACTGACTAACCAGCCTTCTGAGCCCATTAACATGTTCCATAACATTGTCGAGTTCTGAAAAAACATCGTCGTCACCAACTTCTGCCTCCACTTTATTTAGATGAAAAGGTATGCTGGGCACATTGTCATATATACTCAGCCTGTTATCCATGAATGAAAGAGGGCTTGCGGGGGTTTCAGAGTCCTTACGACTGGTTCTAATCCTATTTCTTCTGCATCCATGAAAGCTTCCAGTTCTCCAGTTCACAGAAGTATTGTCCATTGGTGAAAGGAAACTGTTTGTAAGTGCTTTAGGGAATGTCCCAGGCTTATGGCCTTGCGGTATTTGAAACATTTGGTTAGCCTGCAAGTTTATTTCGTTGTTTAAATTTTGCTCAGATATATCACTCCACAGCAAGAGCTTACTAGAATCAAAGTCCTCTGCATACATCCCTCCTCTTTTATTGTGGCTCCTGACTTTGATAACAGGACTCGGGGTGCTGACTGTGCTACTGTTTTCAGATGGGCTGCTGCTGCTACAAGTCTGGGGAGAATAGGAAGAATTCTTTTTCATTTGACTATCTGATAGGTCACAAATATTCACACAGTTAAAGTTTTTCAGCTTTTCTTCATCAAGTCCTTCCAGCAGAACAGGTTCACTTATTATGGGTTTAACCTTTGAGTGACCATCTCTCTTCAGACTGGTGTTCTTTATGGCCAACTTCTCCATTTTCTTTAGAAAGCTCTTTCCCTTTTTATGCAGTGGCTTGTCCAAAAACTTATCTTCACTGATGATGCTTAAGAATTCACTGGGTGAAGGAGACCCACTAAGGGTGGAATCCGGTGAGGCCACTTTACTCGAGGAACACCTTGAGGAACTTCTGCTGGTCTCAATATCTTCAAAAGTCTTTGGGAAGCCAATAATGTCACTGTCTCCACTGCTAGTACTGTGGATTGAGGATGCATCATGTTTCCCACCATGGTCTGAAAAGGATATATCCTCACTACCAGTGCTCTTAAGTCTTGGACTGTCTGGGACTGATGCACTAGAACCTTCTTCTCCAGGGGAACCGTCTAGGCTTTCCAGACGAGACCATCTCTGACTGCACCTCTCATAAGCCCATTTGTTACTTATTGCACAAGGTTCCTCATCTTCAGATTCATCACTCTTAAAATAAAGAAAGTACAGTTCAATGAGCAAAGTCCAGCAAATTTTAAAATATCTAAGACATAATAAAAAAAAAGGGAGATTTAATTTTTATATTTGCTTCTGAAACCCTGGGTACTTTTATACGTAGTTTTATCTACTGTAACAACATTCAGTTGAAAGCTCTTCATCATGAGCTATACTTTCCAATCAAGTGTTTTATGGGCAGAAAGAGATCTAAGCTTTCTGGATATTTTAGTCAACTTACTACCACCAGAGAGAAGAGTTGACATGAAGATGAAAATTCTGCTTGGAAGAAAATGTTGAGCTTTTGCAATGTGACTTTTTTTACCCATATGTGAACAAAACCAAGCCTTTTGAACATGTTTGTGAAAAAGTAATTTTGTCAAAACATCTGTCAGGGATCAAAATTTAAGATTTTTGGTTAGGGAAAGAGTTATCACTGGGCTAGGATTTGGAAGACTCGGGTTCAAATCCCTGTTGCGCCTAATTTGGAGCAGAAACTTTAACTTATCTTTCCACATCCTGAATAGAAGCTCTAACCATTAGGGAACTAGGACATCTGGAGCAGGGGAGAGCTGGTCTCCTCCTCTTCCTCCCAATATGGAAGGCAAAACATTTCAAAATCTCAACATATTTTTTTAAATAAAAAGAAGCTGCTTTTTCCTGGCCTATAGCTAATTTGAAACTAGGTTTCAAATCCTAAAGGTAGGCAAGGCAAGTTACAGCTTTAATTCAGGTTCGTTAAAGTGAATCCTCTGCTTCTCCCATTTTCTTCTGAGAGAGAGAAACTGGAAGTGTCAAAGAATGGATGGACATGAAAACTAAATGAGTATGCCTACATCATGGTAACAGTGCGTTTAGATGTAGACACTCCTGAGCATGTCCCGCCTACCCACACTCCTAACCTGGAAATATGACCATAGAAGAAAGGCCTGATTGTCGGTCTCAAGACCTTAATCTGTAGTAGGCCAGACAGCAGCCGTAGAAGGGAACCCCAAGCCCTGAAGTAAGTGCACTTGTGTGTTCAGACTGCCTGGGAGCACGGGTAGCTGGGACATGCTTAGGAAAAGCTTTGCTGTTCTTGCTGCTGGGCAGACCTGCCTCTAGTAACCTCACATACATTCAAAGCCCCAGATTGGTTGAATTTTCATTTAACAAGGCAATGATGGACACAAACTTGTACTTTTTTTTTTACATAAATATCCTTTTTTAAAATTAAAAAGTGCACTAGCTGACTAATCTATGAAATGAAAATTGCATAGAATTTTCTGTGGATTATGCCCATACAGTACCTTTAAATTCCTCAGGCACAAATGTATGCATTTCCTATGACAGGTTAGCTCCCTGACCACACAAATAAAGTCAATGGAAAAGGTTAATCCTTAACAGATCATCTTTATGTGGACCTGCAATTTACAGAGTATTTTAAATACCAGTTAGTCATGTTTTAGAGAAAACAAACACACAATTTAGAGGCATACCCTCTTCCTCTGTCGACTTATTTCCACTTTCATTGCTGCGCATTTGTTTAGTGTGTTTAACCGTCTAGAGAAAAGGAAAAAAAAAGGACTTAAAGTTTTAACTCAAATGATGTTAACTAAAAGCAGACATTGTCCGAGCTGGTCCTGAAACCTTCAAAGAAATCTGAAGATCTGTCAGCAATAACTGACATTCTGCTCCGGGCTCCTTAAATGCCCCAAGACCAAACAAGGTCAGTGGTTGTGTGATGCTCATAGCTACAATTGCGTTCTTGCAACATTTGGGGGGAAAAAAAACAAATCACAATAATGAATACACTGTAATGTGATTTCAGTACAACTTTAGAAAGAGCTTTGTCAATTATATAGAAGATGCTAAAACCTTTTGAGATTTTGGTAAAAAAGAAATTGAGAGTCAAATTATTTTTAAAAAAGATTACTGGCAGTTTTTGACATTAGCTTTGGCAATTAAGATAATCTTATTTTTTGTTGTAATCACTTTAACTGAAAACTGCAAGTTCAAAAAAGACCTAAACTAGCCCAAATATTTAAAAACATGAGCAATCCCTTCAACATCAGTGGGATTACTCACGGGTGGAAGGTAAAGAATGATCTGGATTAAACAATCCAATTTAAAGAAAAGCAACAGTATGAATGAATACCAGACAATTTCATAATTTTTAGTATCTGTCCTGAGAACACACACACACACAATATCCTTTCCCTTCCAAGACAAGGGCAACAGCAGGATATGAATTCAGGCACTTTAACACGAAGTGCATGTTGACACTGCAAATGCACTGTGCCAGGCAACAGCACCCCTGAATATACCATGCTGCTTCATAGGGGTACCTCCTGCAGCAACATTTTAATGCAACAATGCTGCTTCCTGTCCAGGTAATAACCTGCATAGCATGTCAGAGGGCACCACTGGCTCACATAGCAAATTTGCAGTGTAAAAGTACATTAAAGTTATGGGCTGCTAGCACTTTGGTTAGAGGAGTAACTCTTAGGCCCTCACTTGATGCAAATATTTATCCTCTCATTTGTATTAGCTACTAGATGTGGGCAAAGCCCATACCATGCCACGCATGGGCTACAGGTCACAAGTGACCACACATGAATAAAAAAAGCTTTTAAAAAAAAGATATGAGGAAAAAATGCACCATGAGTAATTACACTAGCACTCCCATGTGGGGGAAGCCCATAAAACAGATGAGAGTTACTGTGTGCCAACAAACCAAGTTCACCTGTGTACTACACAAGTTCTGGCAAAATGTCAGCATTTGAACAGTGGTTTAATCTCTTACTCAAGAACCTCTTGACAACAATGAGAGCAAACATGTGGTGTTTAATTACTGCAATTTGTTTTTGCTAGTCATTTACAGTATCATTTCTCTGGAAGTGCAAAAAAAGCCCATCCAAACAACAAACCTGTAAGATCTGTATGTGGAAGAAAGCTTTAATTCCAGCAAAAAAAACCTAAAAAGCCCCACCAACTAATAATTCTAACATATGGTTCTGATGGTTACTAAACAAAGTGATAGAAGTATTCTCACTCCCTGTAGACAACACTTTAAATAGATAAAATAGGGTTGACGCCTTATGCTACAAAAGGCACAGACAGAAGTGCAGCTCCGCAATCTAGCCCATGGAGCTTCACAGAAAGTGTTGAGTTAGATCAACCCTCCCAACCCAACAGATGGTAGCTGTCTCCGGGTGAGACGGGGAGAAGGAAAAGGAGCGAGGCGCATTCTGGGGTCTGCCCAACCATGCTGGAGTGGGGAGGGGGGGCCCTTCACCTCAAGGGAGCTCCAAGCCACTCCCCCCTTCTCTCTAGTGTAGGCTGGGCAAACCCCAGAACAGATCTCCCTCCCCTGCCTTCTCCCCCTCCCATCCTAAGAGAGCACCAGGGGTGGAGCTGAGCTACTTCAGCCAACAGAGCAGACAGAAGTTAACGAAGGCACTCTGCTTTGGAGTGCCTTCATTTGAACCCTCATATAATGACAGTTAATTTGCTGCAATTGGAGTGCTCTGCAGCTGTGCTCTTTTGTTTGGCCATGGCAGTAGAGTGCTTTCAAGGGGCCAATTGTGCAACAAATATAATGTCTCTCTGAGCCTACAGATATGCATTCAGGCCTTAAGTCAGGAAAGTACTTACGTACATAAAAGGTTAATACGGTCTTAAGTTTTTTTTAAATCATGAAGTGTGCTTAAGCGTGTGCTTAAGAGATTTTATGAGGTATATGCTTCCATGAGCAACCTGTTAAACTAGAAAAAGACACACCCACAAAAATATAGGAGCTGTTTTCTTTTGTGTAGAGGCTGAAGCAAAATTATTATATTTACCTGAATAGAGATTCAATAGCATCAATATCTAAAAATTCATGATCTTTCCTCACAGTTTTGATGTCAATAGGAAACTGCATGTCTGTGAATACAAAATATTTATTTATAATAATTTTTGAAGGATCATAGTATTTTCCAAAAAACTAAGACTATGCTTGACATTTCAGTTCAATCTAGATAAAACTACAGTATTTTTTTATAGAACTGTTCCTGCACAAGTCATACATATAACTAAGGTCCCAATCCTCCATAGACCAACACTTGAGTAATTTTACCTACTTGCCACCAATGGGATTATTTGCATACACATGAGTAATTGTTGGATGGAAGCTAAATGTTTGAAGAGTCTGCCATTGAATTGCATTGAAGTCAACAAATTAAGCTTATAAACTAAAACATATAAAGTTGAGAATAAAATCTCTACTTTCTGTCCGTCTGTCTCATGTGCACCTGCCTTTAAAAACAGTGTTTTAATATTAACCTGTAAGTAGGCTGAAACATGTTTTTATTACCTTGAATATGAAAAGGTATAGACCACTACTCACTGCCACTCAAGCTTTAATGGGATCTACAAAACATACCCGCCATCCCAGATTTTGATATCTGCCCTCCCAGACTGAGAAACCTCCAAAATCTATTGACAATACTTTCTAGGCTTCTTTTATAGATCTTAATGAGACTTAAGCATCTCACCAAGCTTGAGCACTGCATTTTTGTTAACAGAGAGTGTTTATTATACAGTATAATATATTGGACATGTATAAAACATAAAGTTGCCTACAAAATGACATCTTACATCCACAATCATCTAACAGTAAGAACTCTCTTGAGACCCTGCAGCTGGGATGAGGGGGTGCTTGCAAGGTGCTGGAATGAAACAGCAAACAGAAAGGCAGAGTTCACTCTTCAGGGTAAAAGCTAGAGTGTTACACTTTCACAGCTGCTGTTCAACTGGTAGTCATTTTTGGCTGAACAGCAGCAGCTGTCAAAGGGTTAACACTCTAGCTTCTGCTGATGTTGCAGTGTGCACTCTACCTCTGTAGTCAGAATTTAGCCACGACTGGAAAAATCTTTTTTGAATTCATTTTGCCTTCCCAAAACAAGGTACTGAATGCCTTATCTGAGGGAGGGGGTATACAAGAAATGCAACACATGGAATTTTTTTATCATACTGTACCTTCAAATAACTGAGCATATTGAGGAAAGCCAGCAGCCCTCAGCCAGTCGCAGGCTTCTTTGGCTTCAATTTCTGTAATAAAATATAAAAACACAAAGGTCAGTTTTCAGAGGTTAACAGGAGGTTGACAGATCCATAAGACTAGCGACTTTTACAAAACCGGAGTTACTTATTTCATATCACTCCAAGGAAATGGATTTAATGAGGAATCTTGTGTATGTGGTTTCTATTAGCATACTTTTGAAAAATGATATTTAAAAAAACAAACAAATACACACACGGCTAGCATTCATTCCACTATGGAGAAGATGCACCAAACAAACCACTGCATATTGATCACTGCATATGATGTCATCCATCTGTGAAGGTCTTGTGTTATAAAGTATCACTAATATGTCTTGAATGAGTAATCAAAAATGGCATGTGATACATATATCCAGTCACTAAGATATCAATGCCCAACCAAGCATTCTGATCCTTAGACACAATGGTAGGACTAGGACAAATATATCAAATAATACCATAATTAGACTGAAAGAGCTACTACAACACTAACAGAACTCTACTTACGCATTCTTGGTAATGAGAGCTGTCTACAGTACCTGTTGCTAGGGTCTTTCAATATTTATTTCCTTGCCAACTACCAATTCCACTTGGCAGTTACTTCAGTACAACAGATGTCAGGAATTAACTGCTCATTTTGTGGCAATTAATAAAGCTCTATGACCAATACGACAACATTCCCACAGGAGCAGAAGCAAAACATAACCTTACACAATTACAGAACACTCACCAGATGCCTTAAAAATGTAAACATGTTTAGTATGCTTCTGGAAGAGCACATACCAGCAGCCTCTAAACTGCACAAATATTGGAAATTACTGTTTACTGTGAAGGAGAAGAAATGCAGACTACACTCTTCTGTCTGGGGACTCTGCTAGTTCCTGAGTTACAGCTCTGATATCAACCAAGTTGCCAAGGCTTGCCTCACGCACAGCTTTAATGAGAGTTTCAAAATCTAGTTTCCTAAAATGTGTTTTCTGTCCAAAAATGGAACTCTAAAGACATTCTGTATGTTGATTTGTTAAAATGCATTGCCCAACTTTGCTTGTAATATTCAGTAGACAATATCAGTTTAACGAGGTGAAACAATTCGCCTAAGTATCTTTAGCATATCTACCAATTGTTGGCATGCATCTGGTATGCATTTACCAAGGCATCTTGAGCAAGGCTAAGGATGTCATCCTCCCGCTCTACTCAGCCTTGGTGAGACCGCAGCTGAAGTACTGGGCCCATTTCTGGGCACCACACTTCAGGAAGGATGTGGAGAAGTGCAAGAGAGTCCAAAGGAGGGCCATGTGCATGATTAGGGACCTACAGACTAGGTCATATGAGGAGAGGCTGAAAGACTTGGGACTTTTCAGCCTAGAGAAGAAGACTCAGAGGGGACTTGGTGGCAGCCTACAAGTATATCAGGGGCGTACATCAGAGCTTGGGGGAGCGTCTATTCACCAATGCCCCCCCGGGGGAGGACAAGAAATAATGGGCACAAACTAATTGAAGATCACTTCAGACTAGACACAAGGAAAAACTTCTTTACAAGTTGACTGTAAAGAATGCTCCCCACAGA